TGAACCATACACGCAGGCCATCGACGAGCACTGGGCGGAGCACGCCTGGTCTTTTAACTCCTTCTCACGTAGCGGGCCACTGAGTTTTCAGCTTCGACTCTACGGTCCAAGCTAGCTTGCTTCGTGAGACAGGTAGTAGAGTAGGTAACCTTTAACCTTTTTTGGGGTAGTATAGTCCTTATATAACCCCTATATAACCAAGAGGTTAACCTCTAGTTCTGAACCCAACACCCGGAAGTCTCGACTACGAAGCATAAAGCTTTACCAGCAATCGCTGGACCAATAGATGCCAAATGCTAGAGCACGGATCCTAAAGCTCGAAGAGCAGGTTTTAAGCCTAGACACGAACCACAAAGCTCCCAAAGCAGCACAGACTGAAAATCGTTCATTGTAATTGTTGGGAATCCACACTACAACATATTATGACCTTATTGCATGCCAGAGATGTATCAATGACAGCGCTGAAGATACTACTCTACCATTCTTCCACACCCGGAGCCTGAGGCGTCGAGGGCGTTCTCTCTGTGCCCGGAGCCTGGTGAGAGGAGAGGATCGGCTCACGGTGTATACGAGTTTAAATAAACGCGGATGCCAATACTATTCCTGAAAAATTTATAAGGTAATCACTATTCCTTGGGGTCTTTAATAATCATACTCTAAGACATGCCCAAACCCTATTCTGATTATAAAGGCCCCTACATGAGAGCTTGGGGTTCAGCTCCCAGCTCGCTCCGACCACTGACGCTGAGGCTGGGATTCTATGCCAGTGCCAAAGGTAGCACGGCTCAGGCTTGGGCCCTTTGAGAATGGGCGGGAGGGGAGTCTTTCGGAATTTTCTGTGTGGGCTGTCGGGTTCGTCTGTCTAGGGTTCTTTGGTGTTTGATTTGATCGGATTTAGAGTTTGGGGCTTAGGAATTCAGGCTTCTGGAAGCATACTTTCGGGTTTGGAAAGCTTTGTGATTTGGATTTGGGTTGCGCTGCCCGAGGTGGTGCAAGAATGCTTTGCAACTATTTGCAGAAACCCCCCCAAACTGTAAACCTTCAGGCCGAGTCTCCCCAAGAAGCGCAGCTTTCAAGAAGGCCGACATGCGTGTCTCGTCGTGTTGCACCTTGGGCCAATGCTTGCATGCACGAACGCCTGAATCCAAGTCACCGAAAATGTATCTTCCAATCTAATGCTTTCCGAAAGCCGACGCTCCTGTCCTCAAGCCCCCCTTCAACCCGAAATTCTGAGTCCTCCTCTCCTCCTCGCACCTTCAGCTCTTCGCCCAAGACCCTTGATCTTAAGTTTCCCTTCCTCCTCACGATACCGACAGCCTGAAGCTTTTCTCCCCGACCCTTGATGTCTAGACCCTCATCCCTACTCCCCACAGTATCATCAAACCTTCTCCCTAAAATGGCGATGACAGGACCTGGCCATGAAGGACTGTCGGTTCAGGGGGCTGCGAGATTGCTTTTGTTCAATGTTCGGGGACTGTTTAGATTTCATCGCATCTTGAGTGCAAGGATGCAAAGTCTTCGGTTTGGTTTTGGGTGCAAGGTTCGTGGTGCTGGGCCTGGGTTGCGCCAATAACTGACAATAGCCAAAGTCATACGCTTGCGGATTCAGGCATAGGCTTTGGGTCAGGGTTGGTTTGGGTTTGGGGTCCCTGAGCCCTCTAGAACAAGCACTGCCCTGTCTGCCGGAAAGTCCTGGTCCTGATTCTCCATCCGAAACTTGACTCGCTGCACAGCCGCGATGCATGGGTCTACAGCATGCTCTTATACCTACCGCCGCTGTATATCCCAGACCAGCTGACCCCCGTTTCGTCCACTCCGAAAGGTCGAAGCATGCTGACTTGCCAGCTTATGCTGACTTCGAAGTTGCAGGACACCCACATCCTGATCCTTGCCGGAGCTTCAGTGATCCCTTGTCCTGTCAGGGACAAGCCCACCTAGGACCTTGGCAAACTAGTTACAGCTCCTTCAAATAAAGCTCGAGTTTGATCCGGAAGCTGGACGTCCGAACTATGTCACATACGATCGTCTTCTGGAAGGAGCCTTTGGTTTTACCTTGTATTGTTGTAAGTGTTTGTGTTTTTCGCAGCTGTGATTCAACATGCAATATGCATTTGCGAGTCAAGCAATGCAGAATCACACGAGCTTGCAACCTTTGCAATATTTTGCTTTGCTCAGACACAATCCTCAAAGTTGGAGGCCGAGCTGTACCCGCACCCCTTCACGAGACTGTAGCGTTCGGCAGCATGTTTCTGAACAAGCCAGAGCTTAAGGTGAAGGCTGTAAACAACATTGGCCAAAGCACTGCAACCGCAGCTTAGGACCATAGGCCGCTTAGGATTAAGACCCCAGGCGCTACAATTCCAACTTCTCAACCAAGCCCCATTTGGCCCGAAGTTTTAATTGCTAAGGGTGGGGAAATCGTAAGCCCTACGCCCTACTTACCAAAGCCAGTCCTTAGCCCCAAGTAATATACGCTCAACTATAAAGGTAAGGCGCAATCCCCTGCCGCAAGCCTTAATCTTAAGGGTGAACCCAGAGAGCCCAATACCCCTTAATTAATTAAGGAATGTGGCTTAAATTATATAGGGCTTCATATTATGATTTAAGCTCTATTCCATAATTAAGGGGTATTGGGCTCTTTGGGAAGCTGTCAAGGCCGCTCGACTCCGGGGAGAGGCTGGAGGCGGCCGCTGGGCCTACCCGGTGCCTCGGCCACGAACTTTCGGAGCGCATGTGGGGATGTTGGGAGGTTTTGGGCAAATCTAAGGCTTGGGAATTTGTGTGACATTGGGGAGCTGCTGGAGTTCAGGGCTAGGGGTTTAGGAGGTAATAGATTCAGGGATCTAAGGACATGTAAGGACTCTCGGGCTTCGGGGTTCTGAGGGTTGGGAGGTTTAGCTCGCGCGTCAGGGTTTCAGGGTGGGCTTACGGAAAGGATCGTTCTCGTTATCGGGTGCAGAATCCAAATTTTGGGGCAGTTTGGGACTGACCTGTCAACCTCTGTAAGTAAGTGTGGGCACAACGAAGGGCACCCCACCCTTCACCAGAACAGGAGACTGTAGCAAAGCTGACTAAGTAATTACACAATTCCCGCACCCCTCAACCCTGCAGAACCTCAGCCCCAAACAAATGGCACAGGACGCCTGGTCCCCGGTAACCATCTGTACAGGTTTCGAGGGTTTTGGGACGGACAAGGAGAAAGGGTTCAGGGGGTCTAGAGCATAAAACCGTTTCCAACGAAAAAATCCTCAACAGTTTGGCTGAGCAGAATCCTTGTCGCGATGTGGCACAGTCCTTCGGGCATTCGCAGACTATTCCTAGAATGTGTTGGTGGTGGGAGGGCGAAGCCTTCAAGATAAATGGTCGGCTGTGTTGCTTGGGTGACTCAGGTGCAGCTTTTTGCTGGAGGAGAGTGCTGCGCTCAGCTCGAATGTCTTGTAAAATCGTTTGTATCTTCAGAGTTGGCATCGCGCTACTTGTAGGAGTCCGGGTTTAGGGTTCAGGGCTGTAGGGTGCACCACGCTTCAGATTTATGGCTGTCGGCTTTAGAGGGTCCTCTCAAGCCCATGACTGTGAGCCCTGGGCTTCACACCCACCTTGTGGAAGACGGGTCATGTGATCACAAGCAGCTTCTGAGGAATGCATTTCCTGCCAGCATTGAAGAGGAGGCTGAGGGGTTGCTAGTTCCAAGTTCAGGGTTTTGATAGCGGCAGATTGGCAGAAGGCTTTGTCAGGGGTTGCAAATGTTCTGTGTTGACAGCTTGTCCTTCCACACTGCATAGGGGCATAGGGCGTGTTCAATGCTAGATAGTCCTGTTCATGGGAACGGGCGGTATAGCCTCCCAAACGCGAAAACCCAACCTCTAAAGTGCTTAGGTTGCCGTCTCGGCAGTGAGCGCTGCTGTGCTCTGTTCTGTCCAAACTTTCGCGTCGGATGCTTCGAAGCCGTACGGTTTCATGCAATCTGAGGGCGCAACTACCCCGAGGCCTAAACTGCCCCTGCCCCTAAACTCGTAAAGTCTTACACCCTGTAATTAGGCCCGAACCCTCAATATCACCGAAAGCCTCTAAGCTCCAGACCTTCCAAAAAACTCTATAAGCTTATAAGCTCCATGAAGTCCCAACGCCTGAACTCTGGAGCCTCCGCCGCATGCAGGTTTTGGTCCCGCCCTTCACGAGGTATTACTTCGAGCCGGACACGGAGGCGGCCGGGAGTTCTGGCTTCATTGAACAATGAGTGCTAAGAGCTTAGGGTTGAGTTAAGCACTATACCTTTCTTTCGGCTTCCTTATTGTAGTTATAGCATACGATTCCCCCAAAAATACTCTAATCATTCAGGCTCTGTGTTAGGAACAGGGCTTGTTGTAGGCGTGCTGTCGTGGTTCAGGAGTATATATATATATATATATATATATATATACATACATACATACATAATTACACCTCAAGTCAAAGTATAGGTTCAAGGCATATTCCCTAACACAGGGCGTCGGAGGTCTCTGGGAATCGGCCTCCGCAGGTTTCCAGTGCCCAGACGCCAGAAGAGCGCAGTCGGAGGCGCACCGAGCTGCACTTCTAAGCTCTGTGAGCCTGCTCTTGTATGGAGCTTACTTTGGGGTCTTGGGGGTTTACCTCTGAGCTCTGTGACCCTGGGGCTCCTATGAGGCTTGCCTTTGGCTGTCGGGGTTGTGGGGATGTCGGATTCAGGGCATTCGGCCGTGCAGGGTGAACACATGTTTAAGGCTCCTACACTGCATCAAAGGGAATCGACTCGTCTATGTTGGCCTTTCGGGCTTGTCAGGGCTCTGGAAGAATCTTCTGACGTGTGCACCAGGCAATACGGCCCAAGGTGTAATTCATAGGTCTTATATACATGTTGAAGGCGTCTGACTGGAGAATAAAGCCAAACATGTTTTTTGACATTGTGCTCGTGCCTTGACGCATCTTAGCTGTATGAAGCCTCCGAGAGTCAAGTAGCGCATGCATGTGATGAGCGGACCATGAGCCGCACCTTCCGACGTGGGAAGCTTCGCTACTTCGCCTTATGTTGCGTTGTTGGTAGTCTCCTCGGAGGAGCTTTGTCAGCATCTGCGCCACCAGCCTGGTGGCGACAGGGTCGACCTCGGAGGATCTTGGGAAGCAGGGCGGAGGCAGAGCTCCTCTCGCAGCTGGCGGTGCTGCTGATGCCAGATCAGCCTATAGCTGAGGCTTTTCGTGATTTTCCGTGTCAGAAAGGCAGCGATTGGGGCACGAACAAGCTGTGCCCGGATTTGGCATTACACGGGGTGCTTGAGGCAACGGATGCTGCACTGTTCATCGAGTATGATGGCTACTTTCGGCACATGAGCCCTTCCGGGCTGGCCAGGGACATGCGCAAGACTAGTGCGCTCCTGAAGCTCGCTCCTGCGGGATCTGTCGTAGTCCGCATCGCGCACGAGAAACGAGAGTGGAAGGACAAGTCGTCACAAATAGTGGTGGACTGCTGGTACCCCGAGCACCCGCCTTCCCTGGTAAAGGCCCTGAAGCAGGCTGCGACCTCTCTTCTACGGTGCTGTTCGGCACAACTGCTTCCAAAGACAGCTTCTCGTTTGGAGGGGTTTGCAGCAGAGCGGCTAGACCTGGAAGCAAGAGTCTTTGCCAAGGATGCAGAATTGATTGGCATGTTCAACTGCAGCAGCAATTTGCAGGTCCAGGAGTTCTTGCAGAGGGCCTTGCTTGTCACCTCCGAACAAGCCGAAAAGTTAATTGAAAGATATCCGCAGATGCTGAGACGACGCGTGGATGACCATGTGACACCAACAGTCAAGTGGATCAAGGGATTGGGCCTGAGCCAGTCGCAGGTTGCCAAGGTGATCGCAACCTTTCCGCGAGTGCTTGGGTATAGCATTGAGGCGAATCTGAAGCCAACGGTCGATTGGATCAAGGGGTTGGGCCTGAGCCAGTCGCAGGTTGCCAAGGTGATCGCAACCTTTCCGCATGTGCTTGGCTACAGTATTGCGGCAAATCTGAAGCCAACAGTCGACTGGATCGAGGGGTTGGGCCTGAGCCAGTCGCAGGTTGCCAAGGTGATCGCAACGTTTCCGCAAGTGCTTGCATATAGCATTGCTGCAAATCTGAAGCCAACAGTCGAGTGGATCGACGGGTTGGGCCTGAGCCAGTCGCAGGTTGCCAAGGTGATCGCAACCTATCCGCAAGTGCTTGGGTATAGCATTGAGGCAAATCTGAAACCAACGGTCGAGTGGATCAAGGGGTTGGGCCTGAGCCAGTCGCAGGTTGCCAAGGTGATCGCAACCTATCCGCAGGTGCTTGGATTGAGCATTGAGGCAAATCTGAAGCCAACAGTCGAGTGGATCAAGGGGTTGGGCCTGAGCCAGTCGCAGGTTGCCAAGGTGATCGCAACCTATCCGCAAGTGCTTTCATATAGCATTGCAGCAAATCTGAAGCCAACAGTCGAGTGGATCGACGGGTTGGGCCTGAGCCAGTCGCAGGTTGCCAAGGTGATCGCAACCTCTCCGCGAGTGCTTGGGTATAGCATTGAGGCGAATCTGAAGCCAACGGTCGAGTGGATCGACGGGTTGGGCCTGAGCCAGTCGCAGGTTGCCAAGGTGATCGCAACCTATCCGCAGGTGCTTGGATTGAGCATTGAGGCAAATCTGAAGCCAACAGTCGAGTGGATCAAGGGGTTGGGCCTGAGCCAGTCGCAGGTTGCCAAGGTGATCGCAACCTTTCCGAATGTGCTTGGCTACAGTATTGCGGCAAATCTGAAACCAACGGTCGAGTGGATCAAGGGGTTGGGCCTGAGCCAGTCGCAGGTTGCCAAGGTGATCGCAACCTATCCGCAAGTGCTTTCATATAGCATTGCGGCAAATCTGAAGCCAACAGTCGACTGGATCGAGGGGTTGGGCCTGAGCCAGTCGCAGGTTGCCAAGGTGATCGCAACGTTTCCGCAAGTGCTTGGCTGCAGCATTGAGGCAAATCTGAAAGTGAAACATTGCCTTTTGCGGAGGTATTTCCCTGGGGAGAATGCAGCCATTTTTTTGCTCGCGCGAACACCCCGTCTCTGGAGCTACAGTCAGACTCGACTTCAGCATCGCCTCGATGTCCTGAAGTCTCAAGGTCAGCTTTCGAAGCTTGCGGGTGCCATGGCCATGTCACTGGATGCCTTCAACCGCAGATTCCCCAAGCCAGGCAGTCGCAAAGGTCTGGCTGGTGGTTCGAAGTAGTAGGTTCATGAACGTGCGTGGCATCCTGAAACCTTCCACAGGCTGCGGCAAGGACCAATCTTTCAGCATCGATGCGAGTTGCAACCATCCGAGTGTTTGCCGTGAGCCTCACTGGGCCTAGAAGGCGGAAGCTCGAAGCACTTGGCTCCATGACGTTGGATCCGAGACGGAAACTGGGGGGCATGCAGAGAGAGAAAGATGGAATCATTTGGGAAAGTATTGATGCAGTGAGGCTAGGGTTGTCGTGAGCATTCTGCCCTCCAGGTTTAGAAAAGCTTCACGGGTTTTCAGTACAGCGAGTGCTTTGCTCTCTTCGTGCAACAAACTCTCATTTCGGAGTTTCTGATGGAGGTAAACTGCAGATGGGCCATGAATCTATGATTCCGATTGGTGGCTAGCTTTTTCTTCAAGTTTGCCCAGGGCACAATGCAAGTGATAAAGTCCGAAAAGCTTCATAACACTGGTGGTTCTCAGAAACAGAGTAACAGCAGCTGGCCCGGTTCTTTGGCAAAGAGTCTCTCGATCTGTGGAATGCTGCGCCGACTTCCCCAGCTTCCCGAGTAGAACCCAAAAACCTGAACCCTATCCCTAAGCCACGATCAACCCAGAGAGCCCAGTACCCCTTCATTAAGAAATACGGCCAAAAATTATATAGATACTATGATTTAAGCTGTATTCCTTAATTAAGGGGTATTGGGCTCTCTGGGGAGGCTTTTTTTATTCGTCGCGTGCTTCTACGGGCCCTGGAGCCCGGCAACAGAAGCAAGATTCCGGAAACAGCCCGATGCAACCGAACAGCGGCAGCATTTCAAGAATGGCAGTAGTAGTAAATAGTAGTTATAATTCTACCCCTTCCTCCATTCCCTAAAGGTAAGCTTTGCAAGGCTCGAAACTCCGACCGGCCTTCAAGAATGGGCTTGAAGGTTTGGCTTCAAAGTCGAAAGCTCCAGGTTTACGCTTCAAAACTCTATGGGTTGAGTTGGAGATAAGTAAGGCACTGGGGGAGCAGCCGCGCAGTGTCTGTTTTGTTTTCTGCAGGCTGGCGGCCCTTGAATCGCGCTGGTCGATGCGTTTGGACGAGGAGCTTTACATCCACAGCAAGAGAATCTTGTAGGGGACCGGCGTAGCGGATTGATGAAGAGACAGGCCTCCCCACCGTTGTGTCAGGTAGTTTCAGGTATATACGGGTGGCAAGGAGGAAGGTCTGCATCCGGTCTGTTTGGCGAAGAGACTGACTTGTTTTCACTTCCGCAGACTCCGAAGACGTTGGCCCAGACATCTCAGACATGATGGCAGGTTAGATGGAGACAGCATCCGTACGCAAGCGCTCTGCACAGCCTCCTCGAAATGAAGCCCAGGATGACCTGAAACTCACAGAGAGCGATCTCACTCAGCCTAGGTATGCAGGGTTTCGGATGCAAAGTTCAGGGTTTTTGCCGTAAACAAACAGTAGCCATGGCTGAATCCTGGCGTGACATCGTGGCCGATGGCCCCGTCCCCAGCGGCCGGCATGAGGGTGTTTGGCCCCTCGGCTTGCCAAGGCTCCAAAGGCCCGCAGATAAGTTCCGTTCTTCGGGTTTTTGGCAAGGTTACTTAGGAATTGACAATGCGAGCAGCATGCTTTCCAGAGTTGAGTTGTGGTCAACGACGTTCAGAAGAACCCGTTCGCCTGGGAGTGTCGGCTTTACGCTTTACTCTTTACACAGTTTTCACTTCGTTCCACCTGCGTGGACGTCTCTTCATAATCCTGACTTTTCGCACCCAAACTGCCGTACATCATAGACAGCGAAACAAGCATCGAACCCCAAAAGCCTCGGATACAAAGTGGAAGGCAGCTTTCTCGTCCCAAGCCCATCTCAGCCCCACATCCAGGCCACGGAGATCTCGAGGCTGAAACCCAGAGAGCCCAATACCACTTAATCAAGGAATATAGCTTAAATCATAATTTAACCCATCTTCCTTGATTCAGGGGTATTGGGCTCTCTGAGAACATCAAATGCTGCACCTTTTACACCTCCCCTTCGCCCTAAACCAGTTCCGACCTACAGTTCCAAACCCTGCAGCGGCAACCCAATGACGAGCCAAAACTTGTCCCTCTGAACCCTACACCATACCGGCCCCCCATCAGATAAACGAGCAAGTTAAAACGAACAAATGCTTACTTGTAGGGTTATAAGTAGATATAACTATAGCTACCCTACATATAACCCTACTTACGACATAACTATAACTAGCTTACTGATAACCCTATACTTGCTAAGTGCCCTAGGCCCCTGGACGAGCACAACGTCCGGCTACTGGATGCAGTGCACCCGCGCAGTTGGCCCGCACCTTCCGCAGAGGTCGGGTTTAGGGTTTTGGGGCTCGGGGTCTAGGGTTCAGAGTTACTAGGTTCTTGAGTAGTACCGGTTTGCCCTTTTTGGTTTAGGGTCCCCTTGTTAAAGCCGAATATTAGGAAAAAGGGCACCCTTTTTAATTCAGTGTCGACTCAGGAACCTAGAGTTTGAGATTGAGGTGTTCAAGAAATTTCCTTGCTCAGCGCTGACCGCATCGGTTCGATTAGACTTCTTAAGTTTCGAGACCCCGCATGCACAGACCCGGGTGGGTGTTTCGGCGCCCCTCAAGGTCCGCTCTGGTCGTGTCAAAGCCTCCTTCATTAGGCCCTCTCGGTCGAGAAAGCAGGTCAAAACTCTGAACATCTGCAGTCGAAGAACTGAAATCCATGCCACCATGTCGCTCTAACTACTGGCAACAACTCAAAACGTGCAGCACACTTCATACCCCAAAGCCTTGCTCCCATTCCTGCAACTGGAAAGTGCGAGAAATCCCTGAGGGCGTGATCTACGACCTCGTGGCTGTGGGCGCCGGTGCCGGTGGTCCCTTGGTGCAAAGTGGGAATTCGGATTTTTGAGGCCTTCGGGGTGTTTTACAGGTTCCGCCTGTAGTGAAAGGGCGTCTTGGGGCCGAGGGTTAAGGGCTTTCTTGGTTGCAGAGTAAGGTGTAAGGCCCTGGTTTGGGTGGTAGGTCGGGGCACTTGACCTTCCGAATAACATTCAGACATTCAGAATCGCAGTGGTGCAGCCCCGAGCCTTCCTCATGCTGCAGAGCAGTAGGTCCTCGATGATCCCCAACAACGTTCAGTTCAGTCTCCTTGGGGCATGCAGTATTACCGGCCTTTTGCCATTTGCTGTAGGTTTGGCATTTCTGCGAGCTTTGTTTGGGCTCAGGATTCTCATTCGGTCCTTGGGCTAGAACCGCATATCACACATGGGATCAGCGGGAGTCGGTTGTGATAGACGTAACCTAAGTGAGGGGACGTCTTTACATCCTACTCTTTGTGTTCATCCTAACACGGTCATGAAACCTTGCAAAACCCCTCTCAAACTTTATAAAAACTCTCCAAGCCTATGATCCTTCCCCCAGACCCTAAACCGAAGCCCTCGGAGCCTATGATCCTGCAAGCGGAGGCCTAGTCTCGGCGAAGCAGTCGGCGCGCCGCGGTGCCCGGAGTGCCCTCATCGAGCAGCACCTGGCCGGCGGGGACTGCTTCTCGGCGCCTTATACGAGCCTCAGAGGGTTTCTACATGGGTGTGCTGGGTTCTCGTTATACGGGATCTAGAATCTAGTTTAAGCTGCTACAATAAGGAAATGATATTATTTACCTTAGATCCCTGTTGTGGTAACCTGAATTAAATCCCTGACAAGACCCCGGGGTAATAAAGGGGTCTGTAAGGGTGTTGCAGGGGTGTGTGCTTGAGGGCTTCTGAGCTGTTTACCCTTTACTGTCTTATAGACTTATGCAGTTCTTATACCGTGTGGGAGTTTGTGCTACCAGGGTGATGATGTATGGGTCTTCTGGGCTTATTAGGCCCTTCAGAGGCACAGGGTTCAGTGGTGCTTCGGGCTGCAGGGTTTCGAGGGTTCAGGGTTTTGAGGGATTTAGGGCGTAGCGGTGTTTGAGTCTGAGCAGGATCCTGGATCTGTAGTTTTGAAGAATTCGCAATAATTTGCCGACATAGGCCTATATATCTATGCTATAACACTCTACTACAACATACCCCCTCCAACCCGAGCCTGATTTGTTAAATCCCTTATACTAGGTTGCCTGTATATCAGTGATCAGACCCTCCCAAATCAACGGTTTGTCAACATGTCACTTCCCCTCGAAGCCCTACTTGGAGGATCAGGGGACTTAGTAAGTAGGGCTATGAGTAAGGTTATTATAGTTATATCTACTTATAACCTTAGTAAACGTATTTATAACCCTACTTACTAAGTCCCGTTATCCTTTAAGTAAAATCCCTGAGCCACGAGTCTCCACCAGCCCAAACCCCTAAGCGACCAGCTACACCCGAGCATCCTTAAGCGACGCCCCAATCCCCAAGCCCATTGAACCCTAAACCCTAAAAGCTCCAAACACTAAACCCTAAACCCTCGAAACACTGAACCCCCGAAACCCTAAACCACAACCCCATAAACCATGAGCCTTATAAATCTAAACCTATTCGCCAAAGGCCCATCAACCTATAAGCGCCAAGTGGTCAGCAGATGCGCTGACAAGGCTGCGCACTTACGAAACCTAGCTCCTCAAACTCCTAAACCCTAAACCCCGAGACCCCAAACCACCCTAGCTCCTAGAACCGTAAACCCCAAACCCTAAAAACCCACTTTAAAAGCACAACATAGCTCTTATAAGCCATAGACACCCGTCTCAGGTTTGAACGTCGGCTGCGTCCCCTCCAAGGCGCTCCTGCGATGTGCGCGGGCCGTGGCCGAAGCACGCAGGACGGCTTTCTGGAACCCCAAACCTGGAGACTCCCAAACCCTTTACTTAGATCCCTACTACCTATAACCTTTAAACTTGTTGGGTTCTTATGGTTTAGTAGGAATCGGAAAGTTTAACCTTTTATTTCTGTGGTTTTTTGGGGTAGTAGGTTCAATTACCGTAAGGATCCAAGTACTCCTTATTATAGGACATTGGGTCCATTTTATGTACCGAAACCCATAAACCAGGACTACTTAGACCCTTTAAAGGGAGTTGGATTCCTTAGTTACGGGTGTTTGGAGTCTTTGGGAAGAGAACACAGAGATAAGCGCCACCCTGCCCACGGCTCCGGTTACCTAAAGTTTTAAGTGTGACGGATTGAACACGATCACTTAACATAGCCGACTAACTTTAAACATTTCAAGGCACATGTAGATCCTGAATTCCTCGGGCCGTTTATCTGCTAACGCCTACCATGAGAGCTCACAATTAAGAATCGCAGGCCGTTTAGGGGATCCGAGGTTTGGGATACCCATGAACCCTAAACGCTAAATCGAAAGTCCCCTTTGCACCATTACAAAACGCTAAATCGTGTAGGGTCCTTTGCAGGACGGATTTGGGCTTCCTTGGCGAGTCGCAGGAGCACGGGTAACGGGAGAGGGCTTAGCGTATAGAAGCCTGAATAATCGTTAGCCGGTTATTTGATAATACTTCTTTTGAGGGTCCCTCAACGTAACTTGAGGGTTGGGACAACTAGGGATTAGAGGTAACAGTTCAGGGTTTGGGGCCGTGAAGGTACAGGCGCACTTCGCGAAGGTCATGGAACGCATGCGAAAGCTTCGGGCAGACATCGCTCCAGTCGATTCGCACGAGACATCCAAAGCAGTAGGCGTCGATGTCTACATGGGCACTGCCACCTTCACTGGGAAGCACGAACTGGAAGTTGGAGGCAAGACGCTGCGCTTTCGCAAAGCTGTCATTGCCACGGGCGGTAGGGCCAAAGTGCCCCCAATTCCAGGTTTGGATCAAGTGCCCTACCTCACGAACGCGTCGTTGTTCAATCTGTGCGAGCTTCCTCCGAGGTTGGTCGTGGTGGGTGCAGGGCCGATTAGCCTAGAGATGGCCCAGGCGTTTCAACGATTTGGGAGTGAAGTGACGGTTTTAGAAGTCGCACCCCAAATCATGGGCTTGGAAGATGACGATGCTGCCAAGTTGCTGCGCGAAGTACTGGAGGAAGAGGGCATTCGAATTCACACTGGATGCAAGATCTCCGGCATGTCCTCAACTTCAGCCCAAGCACCAAAACAGGGGTGGCCGGAGATTCGCATCAACATCTCTGTAGACGGTGTGGACAGCACTGTGGTCGGCGATGCCCTTCTTATCGCTGCTGGCAGAGTGCTTGGGCTCTGCAGTTCCAGTGCGGTGTTTTTCTTCTTGGGGGTCAAATCTTTGCAGCAGGCAGCAGGTCAACTCAGCAATACTGACATGCGGTTGGTGATATAACTCCTGCGTTGCCTTAATGACCCTAGACTATGGGAATTATTGTATATTCCCTACTTATGGCGAATGCAGGATTTATATCAGCAGCCGTAGTCATGTGAGACGACACTTACCGAATCCGTTTCTGAACCTCCACGGCCTGGAATCCCAAGCCCAGATCCCAACACACACACACACACACACACATCGAAGCCATCCCCTAAGTCCCACAATTCCTACAAGCATGCATTTACCTTTGTACTCCCCGTGCTGCGAAGCATAAGCCATCATGAACCTTTAAAACTGGAGGGTTTGGTTCTTGCTTTTTGTCGAAGTAGCTCAGGTTTAAAATGTACCAAGACCCCCAGCAACTGCCAGATCCGGTCTGAGTTGTTGCTATACTATTCCTCAAGGTTCTGCGGTATGTTTTTACGGTATGCTGTACCCCAACCCCCCTCTCTAACTACTACCTCATCCTACCGAAGCCTACTTTTTCGTCGGGTTCCCACATATTCCGTAATTGCTGTAGGGTTCATAGTAACTGAAAACAGTAGGATATGGTATTTTAAAGTAACGGTCCCAAAATCGGAGGCCAATAGCCCTTAACTGAGGAATATAGTTTGAATCATAATATGAAGCCCTACATAATTTAAGTTTACGCCATATTCCTCAATTAAGGGGTATTGGAGTTCCCTTGAACCCTAAACCCTATAGATCCCTGAAAGGAACCCTAGGTATTCCTTAATTAAGGGGATTAGAGGCTCTCTGGGTTCCATCGATCCGAGGTGCCCAACGTGGAGGGCCTGGGTCTCGAGGCTGCGGGTGTGGAGTACACCCCTGGCGTCGGCATCAAGGCCTTCTACTCCGATTGGGTTGTCGGTTGAGGTCTCCTAAAATCCCTTAACCCTCAGCCTAAACCCGTCTAAACCCTAATCTCAGCCATGGCCAGGAATCAATTCTGCTTCCGATTTCGGGGTGACGACTCTGTCTCGGAATCAGGGATGTGTGTCATAAGGATTCAGGATCTGATCGAAAACTCAGGGCCGCTGTCCGATGAAGGTATTCTTCCGCTGATAAGAACTCCTTGTATTAGAATTATTAGAGTGTCCTTCAAGGAGGATTCCTTACGGGGTTTAGAGTTTAGTGGATCTCTGTCTTTGGGGATGGTTTTGCAGAGGTCAACGACGACCTGACGACCTCCAACCCCGACATCCTCGCCATCGGCGATGTCATCGAGCGGCCGGACACGCGATTCACTCACATGTCGGGCACCATGGCCGGTATGGCCGTCCAGACTGCCTTGTTCCCTGACAAAGGCCTGCCAGTCAATGCTCCATCAAGGATTCCTGGGTTTCCTTCAGCATGGCTTTCTTCTTCAGTCTCTGTCACCAAGATAGCAAGAACGAACAGCATGGCTGCCACCGGGCGCACAACGCCACCAATCACTACCACCATCGTCATCGTAGGCATCGACCTAGCAGTACTACCTAAACTCTTAGTAGTCGAGTAGGCAACCTTTACCCTTTTGGGGTTTAATGTAGGAACATGTAGGAACCTGATTAAGAAACCCTGGCCCTGGAACCCCCAATATATTAGGATCCATATTATCAGGTTCCTACATCATGTAATCTTACCATAAATTGAAAAGGCTAACCTTTTCTGCTCTAGGGGGTCCACCGCCCCGGAAACCCAAAACCCTAAACCCAAAACCCTAAACCCTAAATACCAACCTTTTTACACCGCCCAGGAAACTCTCGGAAATCGTGGTTCCGCGGTGCACGTACACCGAGCCGGAGGTCGCTTCCTGCGGCGTCTCCAACGAGAAGATCGTGAGCCGGATTGTTTTAGGGGTTTAGGGTTTTGGGGTTTAGGTTTCGGACTTTAGTTTCCCTGTCCGTCGTGGTGGATCTTACACCATATGAGGGATATTAAGGAAAACCGCAAACCCTAAACCGTACAAGTCTAAGATGTTGCAGGGTTTCCGTGAGAGCTTAGGGTTTGGGAGAGAGAGAGAGAGAGAGAGAGAGAGAGAGAGAGAGAGAGAGAGAGAGAGAGAGTGTGAGGATCTTTCGATCCCACGCTCTGAGACTTCTGCCTCCTTCAACCCCTCCGTCTGACTAACTGAACAAGGTATTATTTGGGATACCTTTTTATTTCCCTTTATTTCCCTTATTGTTTAATGTGAAATTCACACCTAGTGAAGGGTCCCAGAGCCTCGATCATCAGGGAAGCTTGATGACTTCTAAGATTGCTAGGATTGATATTTCAGTGGTTTTGATCCTCTGCAGCTACGAAGCAAACTCGGACAGATCCTACCGAGGCAGCGAAGCAGGGCCTCGACGTGGAGGTTTACATGTCCGGCCTGCAGCATAACGACCGCGCCATCCTAGAGGGTTCCACCAGATCCTCGGATACAACTGGGGTCTGAAGTCTGGTTCCTTCAAGGGCTCCTTAAAGGGATCTATAGGGTTCTTTAAAGGGATAAAAAGGTTTTAGGGTTTAGGGTCTACTTAGAGGATCATGGGACTTAGTAAGTCGGGTTTTAAGTACCTGACTTAGGGTTGGAAGTATATATATATATATATATATTAATATAGCTGTTATTACACTTATCTTACTTCTAGCTTCCAACGCTACTTACTGACCAAGGCCGCGGAGCCCGGAAATGGTAATCGCGTGTGTTTGTTTAACTCTTCTTTTTGATCCCTGAGCAATTCCTAAAACTAGGACCCAGAGTAGGCCCTTATTCCCTTTTTTTGGGATGTAGGTTCCCTTATAACCCCCTTTAAACCAAAAAGGGCACCCTTTTTATTCCGAGGTTACTCTTAGGTCTAGAAAAGGATGTCCAATCTCAAGAGCGCATACGCACCAAACGATAGACCCGATAAGACAGCCCAGGGGAGAATGCAACATCACCCCGGCAAAGCCCGACTTGGAGAATAGGGATTTTTCAGAACCCATTCTAGTTTATGTGACTCAGAACCTGCACTCACTAAGTCCCGTTTTGGGTTTGGGCTTCTACTTTAGGCCAGGCCCCTGTTGGGTTTGGGTTTGAAGGGGATGATGGTTCGGATTTCGAGGGCTCTTCAAAGCCAGAGTGCACGGCTTTTCGAGCTCACGTTGAAGGTTTAGGGCCAGTTTAGGGCTTAGGGGTCTAGGGTGCAGGGTTTAGAGTTTAGGGTGAAGTTCACTCCTGCGAGCTTCACGCGAAACTTCTGGCTACAGAGCCTCAGGCACTTCCTGCAGCCCAAAACCCCCAAACCCCCAACACCTTGTAAGAGGAACTTGTAGAGGAACCCTTCTATGAGTTCTCACAGGGAACCCCTCCAAAGGGCCCTTCACCGCGAGCCAGGATGTACCAGTAGGCACACCGCAGAGAGCAAACCCTAGACCCTAAACCCTTAACCGCCACAACCAAGGAGGGTTGGTGAAGATTCTGTGCCGCCGGGGCACGGAGGACTTGTTTTGGTTTGTCCTGCGGAGCTCGTGGGTTTCGGCTGTTCGAGGCTTAGCTTGGGGGGTTTAGGGTTTAGCATGGGTAGGGCTATAAGTTTTTTGGAGGTTATTGGACAACAAACATTGTAAGAGACCTTTAACCCTCTAGCAGAGCCCTGTGGAACACTATGAGAGCCCTGAGAGAACGAACCTTATGGTTTGAAGGAGCTTATGCAACGATTTCATAAAATTCGTTTAGAACCTTTGAAGCTCTATAAGCACCAATGACACCGTCTAAAAAAACATTTTAAAGCCTTACAAAACTCTTGCAGGAGAGAGATTGTTGGAGCTATCAAACCCTAAACTCTAAATTGGAGGAGATCCCTATAAAGCCGTGTAAACTCATTCCCAGAGAACCCAATACCCCTGAATTAAGGAATATGCCTTAAATCAGAATAGTAAGCCCCTATGATTTAAGGTATATTCCTTAATTGAGGGGTATTGGGGATCTAAGCATTGAAGGAGATCGTTGGAGCTACCGTTGTATCGGAGGGCGCTGGGGAGATGTTGGCGGAGCTCACGTTCCTCCGCTGGATTTCGGGGTTTGATGGCTTGTGGCTTGGGGGCTTTAATAATTAGAACAACGTTCCTTTAACTACAAAGGCTACTATGAAGGTTCAGCGAAGGGACTTTAATAATTAGAATCGGGTTTGGGGTAATAGCTATAACAAGGAACCCCCAAAACCCTATTCTATTGATCTAGGCCCCAAACAGCCCAATATCCCTTAATTAAAGAACATGGCTTAAATGGTACAGGGCCTCATATTGTGATTGAAGCTTTATTCCTTACTGAAGGGGTGTTGGGCTCTCTGGGCTTGGGGCTTTAAATTTTGTTCATAAGGGCATTCTAATGCATGATTAGGCTACATTAGGGTTTATGGCTTGGGGGTTTAGGGATTTGTGTTTAGGGTTTCTGGGTTTGGGATATAGCGCGTGACCGTCTCGGCAGATCGTGAAACGACCCTTGAACGCTGCTCAAGCCCTTCAAGAGATGTCACAGCCAAAGGTACAAGCCCCAAACGGACACTGCCGGGTCAAGACACCTCCTCGTCCAACACATCCTGTGCCCCTAGACCTGAAAACCCTGAGATCAAAAACATCACAAGTGCAGAATTCGCCTGTTGCAGTCCCATAAACGTATCGCAACCTTGTTCCGTGGCCCTAGTCTGACAATTGTGAGCTTCCTACATGGCGGCGCTGCTGAACCCCTACGTACATCCACCGGAACAAAGGTCCAAAACAAAAATCCTGAACCTTATGCCTCCCATGATCCTTCCTTTGTTTTTGGGGCCCATTATTCTATAATTTTAATAAGGAGCCCCCAAAATAGTATAGGTAAGTATTAAGGCCCCGAAAGTGGATCCCTCACCGAACCCCCCTATACCCAGACCCCCGGAGGGACCCAAAAAGTAGATCTATTCATGTGGGTTCCTGTAAAGTACCCTTAGTAGTATAGGGTGCCAAATTAGGGGATCTACTTTCTAGATCCTAAACCCTAAACCCCTAAACCACTAAACCCTAAACCCTACTTTCTAGATCCTCCCCGGGGTCTGGGTAAGATCGCCTCGAAGCTTCGGCAGGCTGGCGGCTCAGAACGGCTTGGGCTTGTCGCAAGTTGCCCGGGGCCTCAGCTGCCCAAAGCAGGGATTGAGGATTAAGGTTTAGGGCCTAGGGCTTAGGGTTTAGGGATTAGGGTTCGGGGCTTGGGGATTAGGGTTTAAGGTTTAGGGTTTGGGGAGTGGGGTTTAGGGATTAAGGTTTAGGGATTGAGGATTACGGTTGAGGGCTTCTTCAACGGTACAATCCTAGAGGGTCCATATACTCCAACATGGTTTGGGGACCAAATTCCACAATAGTAGTATATATGGTGCACCATATATGGACCCTGTTGTCATGCGGGTTGCCAGAATGGGTTCACTACTTAAGTTACTCTTGGGCAGTCTTGGGTGACCCCCACATCCCAGGCTTCCGAATTGGGGTCTTTGGTTTTGGGGTTTAGGAGCTGGAAGGCTTTGTGTTTAGATGGCTACTTAGAGGATCATGGGACTTAGTACGTTGGGTTATAAGTACCTTAATTAAGGTTATAAGTAGGTATAACTATAGTTACCTTACTTATAACCCTACTTACTACGTCCCCCGGTCCTCTAAGTAGGGTCTAGGGTTTAGGGGAAGTTTCGGCCTGATCCGGAGGCCAGAACCGTGCACCCATACCCGACGATGGGAGACTTGGCAGATCTAACATCCGGGAAGCCCCGGAGCCGCAACCCCCAAAACCTCACACCCCAAATCCTGAAGACCCTAAATTCCTTTAATTCCTTAATTCCGTAAATTCCTTAATTCCTTAAATTCCCGAATTCCTTAAATTCCTTAATTCCTTAATTCTTTAAATTCCTCAAATTCCTTAAGCCCTAAATGAATCCTTAAGCCCAAAAGCCCTGGAGCCCCAAAACCCTACAGCCGAACTCCCAAAGGCCTCAAGGCCACACCGCACAAAGCCGCCCGTGCACAACTTCTTGAACCCTAAACCACAAAAAACCCTATATGGGAGTTTCCGAAAATTGGGGATACCTTGATTTGGGGTCCTTATAATAAGGATCCTACTATTTAGGGTACTTTGTTAGGGTCCCCTATTTTCGGAAACTCTTCAGTTTGTATCCCTTAATTCGAGGAACCCAGCAAGGCAAGTTCAAGGAACCTTTCTATAAACCCAGGAGAAGCCATCCAGCAATGTGCCTTGAACTACAACCGTGCCCGTTGGGCTAAGTTGGAGAAGGAGGCTCGTGTGTGCTCATCGGAGGTCTCGTGGCTATTGTTTTGTTCTGGTTTCGGGTTGAGGGTTCGTCTTCAAGGCTTTAAGGCGTCATACGGGTTTAGGGGCAGGGTTCTTAGGGCTGAGTGGTTTTTGGGTCAAGGTTGGCGGATTCGCGCTTGGGCTCATAATTCTTGCTTTTGTTACTGTCAGAATGTGATAGGTTGCCCCGTTGATTCAGCCGCCTGCGAATTATTGAATTGCCAAGCAGCTGAAGAAGGCTTTGCCAAGCCGAGGGCCCGACGAAGTGTTCAATACGTTCATCCTCAAGTCAGCAGCCACGCCTACAACAAATTTAGGGAAACTTTGGTTCAGCAGAATGTTTTACCCAGGAATTTCTCAACAGAAAGTAAGGTTTGCGGCAATCTTGTCTGTCCCGCGGACCGCCTGTAATCCAACAGTGCTGGATTTTACTTCTGTGTTGGAGACTTGGGTACGGCCCCACTCAGTATTAGTTGGATAATATTCATAATATAGCTATATTAGGACCTGAATAGTAGCCCGATTATAGACTGTTGCTGTATGGGGGCAGTACCCAATTGGAGACCTCACAACGAAACCTCCCACCGTCCTGAAGCCCCAAACTCCTCTGAGGAGAGGCGCCCTATGGCATCTTGACAGAAGCCGCGCAAAAGCCCTACACAACCATGCCACGAAGCTTTGAAGAAACCCTAAGCCTAAACCCAAAGGCCCTTAACAAGTAAACCCTAGTCCAAAGCTCTAACTCGCCAGCTGGCAGGCCGGCTACAAACAGTGAGCTTTCGCTGCCGGTGAACTTGTTTTGCTCTTCTTTTCGCAGCTCGCGCTTGGTGAGTTGCCTGCTCCTTGCATGACCGGCACAAGGTCTGCAAAAGGAATATCAAAGGGGAAAAGGAGGGACCCCTACCCGAAAGTGGGCTCTATAATGGGTATATAATAGCTATATTATTAAGGGTCCCTCCTTTTACCTTGGAGAATTGCAAGTCGCACAGTGCTCTTCACAAGACAAAAGACAACCCTCTAATGCCATAAACTTTTGTACAAACAGCATAGGAGCATGATTTGCGGTTTCGGGGCTTCGGGACCTAGTTACAGTCGCGGAATTTCGGGTGATGCTGTGCAGTGTTTGCTGTTCTGTGCAACACGCAAGACCTCCACAGTTTATCTTGAGAGTGGGTTCGCCGACGTAGGGTTGCCCTCGCATCCTGCCGCGGACCCGAAAACCCCATAAAAAGGGCAGGAACGGAAGTGATCGCATTTCGGTGGTCACAAATGAGGGTGTTGCACACCGAAACCTCACTATTCGGGTACCACGGCTTTCAGGGGATTGAATGGCGGTGGTCACAAAAATCCTAAACCCTAACCCTAAAGCCCTATAGTGAACCCCGGAAACTTGGAATATGGATTCAGGATGATTACTGCGGGGATCCCCTATACTTTACCTGAAGAGCATAAGGATCATGATGTTCCAACTTTCCGGCTTTTACTTGAGGTGTTTCGCGCGCAAAGCCCCCAAGCCCAAAATCCTAAACCCCAGACCCTAAGGCGTTCAAAAAAAATCAACCCTGAACCCCTAAAACAATCTGAACCTTAAACCCTTAAAAGACAACCCTAAACCCTTAAGCTCTCAATGCCCAAACCACCGGAAAACCCAGGAGTGCCCTCGTCTCCTGGAGCTTCTCCACGAGGGAGCGCTGGCCGGGAAACTGAGCATCTAGGGTCGGTTTAGGGTTTAGGATCTAATGTAGGAACCTGATTCAGAAACCTCGGGTCCTTGTAAGGGTTCTTAACATGGATCCTAATATATTGCGGTTATAGGGACAGGGTTTCTTAATCGGGTTCCTAAATTACATGCAGGGTTTAGGGTTCAGGACTTAGTAGAGAAGCCGGAAGCATTACCAATAGCATTCCGCATGGTTTCTTCGTGGTTCAACAGCCATTTTTTCATTTTTTGTACTCTTAGAAGGTAGTCTTACTCTGAAAGTTTGAACTTGTGACCTTCTGCCCAATGGCTATTTCGTAAGCATGGTTGAGGGTTTAGAGTCTACAGGTTCCAGGGATTTAGGGTCTGGAATCATCTCGTAGCAAGCATATCTTGGATCAGGTAAATTATTTGGCAACATGTTCGTCAAGAAAAGAGATTAGTTTCTATAGTTGTTCTTTTCTCAAACATCAACGTAACTACAATATTCATAAATTGGGTTTGGGACTAGCATTTACCTATGGCTCAAAGAACATACATGTTTTGATTGTCTGGTATATTCCCATGCCGAAGTCTGATTTTTTGCTCTGAAGGTAGCGAGTTCACAGTTTTACAGTTTCGGGTGAGATCGAGGATCGACCTTTTAGGCTTTAGTGGTGGTTGGGACGTAGGGTGTCGTTTTTTAATGTTGTGGCCTGATTCTAAACCTGTGGTTCGGAGGTTCGTAAAGGGATCCGAGCATATTGAGAATTGAGATTCGGGTTCTTGCGCTCGGATCTCGTGTAGAGTTCATAGGCCTGACAAGATGCGGTGTGGAGTTCCGTTGCGTTATAGCTCGAGGTTTTCGATGATGATTAATGGATTTTAAATATAGGGACCTACTTAGGGATCCTTATTAGAATTGTAGTATGATGGGCCCCAAAAAGCCTTTTCTAATCAGGAGGGCCCCTATATTAAGCTCCAGAAACCTGCTTCGAGTTTCCTCTTCATTCGTGTTACTGTTTTTGTCTGTGAGCCTTCTCCTTGTGGCATGGGCTTTCGGTACCCCCGGCTTCCCAGACTTTGCGCACGTGCGGTCATCTGATCTGATATACACATACTGTTTTGCTTTTGGAGACCTCAGGTCTGGCTAGCTTTACGTTTTCTGTTGGACTGCACCTCAAGTTCGGTCGTGTATAGGATTCCATTGTTAAGGATCCCTTCTCGAATAGGAAGCCCCCTTCCTGGCGCCTCGCCGCACGCACTGAACCGGAAAGCCCAAAAGCCATGGTCTACAAGAAGCCCGCATGTCCAAGTCCCACACACGGAAAGAATTTTTCGGAGACTTTGCTTGACAATCGCAAACCCGGAACTCACTTAGAGGATCATGGGACTTACTTAGTAAGCCGGGTTATAAGTACGGCAACTATATGGTACTTCCAGCACTGCTAAGTCCCCTGATCCTCTAAGCAGGCCTACCAGAAGGGCTTCGTTGGCTTGCCCCGCTCTCCGCGCTCGCATCTAAGACGGTCTCAGTGGTTCAGACTCCAGGGGGCTGAGGCCTGAAAGGCCAGGAGCCTGAGTAGTACCGTTTTGCGCTTTTCTGCTCGGGTTTCCCCTTTTTTGAAGTCAAGCAGTAGGAAACAGGGTACCCTTGTTTGTTATTAGCTAAGGGCTTATTCGGAAACCTAGATGGTGAAGAGGCTCATGACGTTTTGGGTTTAGATGAGGGATCAGGTTGGGGCCTTGAGGGTTTAGCTTGCAGTTTATGGTTTTGGCTTTGAGGGGCTTAGGGTTTTGTTCTGTGTGCAACGTCTCACGGCTTTAGGGTTCGCGAGCATGGAAAAAGCCCTGAAGACAAAAGTTAGCGTGGCATCATTTTCCGAACTTCGCGCCGCAAGCCGAGTTACAACAGTCGCATCAACGTTGCTATAACATGCCAAGAGCTGATTATGCAAGTAACACGTTCATACCCTGGAGCAAGCCAAGCTGAGCAGCTCAACAGTGAGTCTGAGTCGGAATGCTGAGGTGTCACCATCCGGTTTATCCGCACTATCGAGGCTTGTGGTTTCTGGTCTTGACTTTAGCGGGTGGGGGGTGTTGGTGACGAATTTCCATTGGTCTTTAGTTGGAAGGGCTTGTTTGTGCTGTTGGCAGTTGCGGGGCATTTCTTTGGGATTTGCGCTCTGTGGCGGCGTTGGAATCTTCCACGAGAAGTCGTCGAAGTGAGCGCACATGGGATGTTCGAAGATACGGTTGCCACTTTGCTGTGCTTGAAGTACTGAAATGGTTCGGATTTGGGGTGCCAGTCCTTAGATCAGTGCTGCCGTGGACAACTCCCCCAATGAACTTAATGCCAGAAGGCCTCACACACCCGGGGAAATCCTGCCAACAAAAGGATCGCACAACCTCTAAAACGCCACGAGGCCCAAGGGCTCCAGTTACCTTTTGGTAGGTTACCCATATGGGAGTTTCCTAAAATGTGGGTACCTTATTTTGGGGTCCTTATAATAAGGATCCTACTATTTAGGATACTTTCTTAGGGCCCCCTCTTTTTCGGAAACTCCCATATTTAGGTAACAGGAGCCACACGGAACCTTAACTCCTTCGAAGCCTCCGGCCAGCCTGCCTACCCGTTGCGTGAGCTGCTGACCGCGGCCCGACAGGACCACGCGAAGCACTTGTCTTTGTAGGGGTTTCGGGTTCAGGGGTTTAAAGGGAACTCCAGAAAGTTGGAATATGGATTCATGGTAGGATCCCCTATAATTTACCTTAAAGGGGTTACGATAATGATATTCCAACTTTCTGGCTTCTACTGTAGGGTTTAGGGTCTCTTTGTAGCTTTGCTCGAGTTCAGGGTGTTGTTCGAGGATTCAGGTTCGGGTTTCAATTTGTTCGGAGTCGTGGCGATTCAGATTGTTAGTTCATGTCATATGAAAAGGTTATGACGGAGAACTGAATCGTTGGCATCCGAGGCTCGCCTGAGGTTTTGAGCCACCAACTCGAATACTTGAGGTTTGTAGATCAAGCTTGGGTTTCGTTTGGCGGGAAATCCCGCGGATGCCCAAAGTGGACTTATGCAACTAAACGGCATCTGCACGCTACATCTCAGCCACCGAATCAGGCCGTAGCGGCTCAGCAAAAGCTGCTGGAACCCGTTTCATCGTAGAGTCTCTCGGCAGTCAGATTGCTGAACATGGAACTTTCAGACAAGCTTCACATGCCAGTAGATTAGATGCCAAACGGTCAAGATGAGCTGCCGCCAGGGTTCAGGCCAGTAAAACTCCTTGGCGAGATGCCCTATTCAAAAGCTCTCTGGACGGAATCGTCAATCTGTTCTCGTTTTGTTTTGAAGTAAGTATTTTAGATTGAAATGCTGGTGAGCCTCCAAAGTCAATCCAAGTCCTGTCTCCCACTCCTGGCTCAATTGCGCAATTCACTCGATATAGAGATATCCTAGATTCAACCCACATATAGCCTCTACCCCTTCCTTCTAATCTGAATACTGACCACAATACGTCCGACTCCCATTTCGAGGATGGCCCCCTGGGCACGGAACGACGTCTTCTGCATTTTCCAGTCGCGAAAAGACAGCAAAATTCGCTGCGATTGAGGATGGGCGGCGAAGGGCCCTACACCCTGCAATTTCAGGATTAATGAAAAAATAACGAGAAATTACTACGTGTTTCGATACACTCAAGGAGCCTAGAAAAATGTAGAATTGATCGGGATA